ATTTCCCCCCATCCTCCCCAAATTTTGCTGTTGTGGTACCTGATGGAGTGCCGGGGTGCAGCAGCCCTGAACTTGTGGGCTTCCTGCTTGCTCCTGTGCCTTCAGGCCTGCTTCATTTGCAGTCTTGTTACTGAAGACAATATTCACTGGCTCTGGCCTCACGTCTGCGGCCTGTCAAACCTGTTGTGGTTTAAAGAATTGTTGTTTTGTTTGTTTGTTTGTTTGTTTTCAACCCTGGTTTTATTCACGTTGGTGTTCCGAATATATTCTAAAGTGAGATAAACTGGCTTCTCTTAAACGGTACCACATGGCAGGCCACTCATTTTTTACTACTGAGCGCTGTCACATTCAAAAGTGGTAGTCACGGATCACTTGCTGATTCAAATCCTCGAGGACTTAAAGTCAATGGCGACATATCCAGTCCAGTTTTTCCCCTAAGAGACGTTGTTACATCACTGCTCAATTAAACGGCAGGTAGTAGACACGTCACCGTTCTGTACAACCACTGTGCATGAGGTTAAAAACTCAAAAGTTCATTATTTGCTACAAAAATTATGATCTCCCACCAGTGAACAAAGCTCCACTGGTGAAGTCAGTACTTTACAGCAGAGTACCCTCAGTCCTGGATTTCTATCTCCAAACCACACTCTCCTGGTGTTTATCAGTAACATGCAGTTACTTAAAATGTAAATTAGCTGCAAAACAGTAAATCACTGCAGGAATTACAGTGATTATTTACATTTCTGCTTAGATATTTAACTTCAATAATCTAAACTCAGTGTCTTCAATTTTTGGCTGCTTATGTCTGTCTTATCTCCTTTTGCTTATCTTGAAGAAAGTTGTATGCTTGGAAATATGTTTTCTTTATTAGTAGGTATCCTCAAATGAAGTGGCGTCCACCTCAGCACCTGCCTCTAACGGGAACCACCTCCATATTTCACACAGCTGACATCACTCTTATCATTGAAGGGGGTGTATGTTTAGTTGTTTCCAAAGGGTTTCTGTTTGCTGTTGTCTGTCAAGCTCAAATTTGGGGCTTTCAAACACATCACACTGACCACAGTGCACGGTGGTAGAAGAGCATGTTCTCTTCTCCCAGTTTCATTGTCAGATCGCTGAGGTCTTGACCTCAGCCTCCCTCAGTGCGGCCACTGCGGCAGGTGTAACAACCCAGTTTCTTCCCTGTAGTAACAAATTGTTGCTGGTCTACATTCTCACTTGGTGAGGATTTAGACACCATTTATACACATTCCTGTGACTGTCACTGCTTAATGCAGGCGTCAAAGAGGATGAGAACGTAATGGTTGTGTGGCGGACCTGGACAAGGAGTTCAGTCCTCTGCTTAGTGTCATCCTGTCACTAATTTCCTGTGTGTCTCTCTCCTTCTCGTGGGTTTATTCCCTCTGCTGACAGAGAAGGCAGCTGCAGCATTCTGCTGATATAGGTAAGTCCTTTTACACACGGTGCCACTTCCAGTGTTGAGAGTTGAAGCTTGAGACCTTGGTTTCCATGCTTCATGTCACGTGTGGTGGCATGTTCACCACTCAGTGAGGCTCACAACCTCAGAGATTTGAGGATGGGGGTGGTGAGTCTTATGTGGTGCAGTCTACTGTTTTGGTCTTTGGAGATCACTGCAAAAGTATTCACGCAAAACATTTCCTGCTTAAAAGTTTCCTATTTAGAAGTCCAGTTTTCGGAATGGTTTTTGGACGTTTTCTAAATAATTTTAATAACAACCCAACCCAGTCTCATTAAGATGTTGCTACACTGAAGAGCAGCACCATTATCCTTAAAAGCGCACGACACATGGCTTATGCTACCATGCATCTGCACTGGTTACTAATTAAGTTTTAATGCACTTGTTTCTTTTTAATACTGCTGAATGCAATATCAATTTTTTACCAGTTGCCTGTGTTACACTGGCTTGACTTGCATTCAACTTTTTTTTCTTAGACATAAACTTTGCCTGCTTAGCAGAATTTTTTTGTTTTTAAATTATGTGTTAATTTTATCGTGCGTTTGCAAAAGGAATGCTTTGGTGAATGCAACACAGAAGTTACCGCTCTGCGGCTGCGCACGGTGAGAAGCAGTGCATCACAGGATGTGTTGTTCTGCAGCTCAGTTTGGGCCTAAATGGGGGTTAACTTAGAGCTCCTGTTATTTTTTGTTTGTTTGTTTTTTCTCCCAAGCTCACATGGGAAGTTTGGGTTGATCCATCCATGTAAAATCTGGAATAAATTCCAGTCCATTAAACATTGCAGGTTGTGAAACAGTACAGTATAATTGCAATTAGTTTTTTACTAGTTTTCAGGATATGTCTTGTTTTAGTTATAAATTCAGCCTCTACTTAATGCTGACCACTATTATGTTTTCCCAGTTTTCTCCAAAGGATCTTCTATCCATACTGTGCCCTCGCTCAACAAAATCTTGAAGGGTATCACAGACTGTGTGATTGGTAAGCAGCGTAGGGATTTTCCTCACATCTATCTACTTTACCTCCTCTCCTTCTTGCATAAAGAAGTGAATAATCAATAATCATTGTGTCTGCAGGCCTTCAGTATGTGTGGGAGTACCGCAGCCCCAGTAAATCTGTCCCTCCACACTACCAGTGCAAACTGTGCGCCATGGCCAGCTTGCAGCATGACATTGTTGACCATGTGAAAGGCTGGAAACACTGCTATAGATACATGGTGAGTGTTGTCTGTTTCAAAGTCTGCACACGAGGTTGCAGAATCATTTGCATTGTTTTATTCTGATTTTCACACAGAAAAAGACCCACCCTGACAAGATTACGCATGAGGAGGAAGATGCCGTGAAAGACCCTGCTATCAGAAAATCCATTAAAGAAGCTGCGGCTGAATTTGAAAAGACGGAGGGGAGGGGACAAATCAAGGTGAGCGCTACACCTGTGATAGTTCAGTTTTTATGTTATATGTAATGTTGGTCTGCTGAATTGGTGTGTTTGCTCTGGGATTTTTACTTTTCTCTTACTAGACAAAAGTTCAAATTCTGTCTCCAAGGTACTGCCAGATAACTTCATCTTTGTTTGGTCCACATAAAACTTTAATATTGCAGATGGGGCTAAAAGTCTCCCATGTTTACATTCGAGGGGTGGGTGCACTTAACAATATGTTGGATTTGATCATTTTCTGTTCCCGTTGTCACATTTAGGTGATCCTCAGGGAGCCCTTTGACATTCCTGCTTTTAAAGGACTACGTAAGTTATTCTGCTCTGTTTGCATCCAATGTTTTTAAGTTCTCAAAAACTAAGATCAGCTTCTCAGTTTAAAAAATAAATAACAAATTTTCCTACTTAGCTGGGGTCAAAGCTTAGCTTAGCATTCAACAACACTAAAAGATTTCCATTCTTTCGCATTAGTTGTTAATTTCACACATCCTTCCATCACAGGCTCTGCTATTCCTAAAGCCGGGCCTTCACCAGCTCCAGGAATGGGACAAATGGGGCCACCCTTTGGCGAGTTCTTTGTGATTGACATTAATTTTCTCAATGTGCATGAATATCTCTGTTCTATTAAAATAAAAATATGTGAACTGAAATGTAATAAACCTGAATCTCACAGGTCCCAGGTTCTCTGAATCAAGATTCCCAGGGGAGTTTCATCCTGATTATCCCGTAGATGAATTTGGGGAGTCCGGCTTTGGAGGCTACTCCTCCAGGGAAGACTTTTCTGACTCTGGTATGGATCGGGGAAATTTCATGGATAATATGGGTCGCGGTTCAGGTAGTGGAAGAGACACCTACAGAAGGAGTGGACTGCTGGATGAACGTCCAAACAAAATGTATTCAGGCGAGTACCAGGGCAACCGGATGGGTAGTAGCTTGATGGACAGACCAATGGACAGGCCGGGATTAATGGGGGCAGCTCCAGAATCTAGCAGCCTTCCCCATACTTTGCTCACATACCTGGTAGGTTTCTTACAATAGGTTTAAAGTCAGCATCTTTTTTTTTTTATATTCATATTTATATTCAGAAAGTAATTTTACAAAATGTGCTTTTAGGATACTTTCAGGATAGAGAATGAGAGCGATGCCCAGCTGGTGCTGAAGGTGACGCAGAAACTAACAGATGTGCTGATGGAGTACCGACTCAGGAGTGTTTCAGGGGTGTGTTGTTTTGAGTTGTTGCTTCTTCTTTTTTTAACAGTATCTATCCTAGAAATAATTTTGAAACCAAACACTAAAGATCAGCCTTCAAACCTTATTTGGCGAGCTGAGTACTAAAGTTCTAATTTAATTTTAACCGTTTCAGCTGTGTGCACTAGGTTTCCTTTGCTCTGAAAGGATGAGCAAAACCAGATTTACTTTTTCAGATGTTTCACTTGTCCCTCAGATTAAAACATTTATTTTGTGGCATCTGTTTCCTCCTCAGGGGCCCAACAGCTTATCATTGAGTTCCACAAACTTCTCTTCACCCCCTAGAATGCAAAGCAGTAGCAACCGATTCTCAGGTGGCCTCTCAGGTATACATGCACCTTCTCCCAGATTTTTTATGACGGATCCATGGCTCAAATATCAAGGACTGTTAAATGAAGGACTCCAAAGGAGTGTGTGAGGCATCATTCTTTGCTGTCCACTTATTAATAGTTTGCTTTTTTTGCAGGTCCATCCCGATACAATGACGGCCCGCCCAGGTATTACAAATAAGAGATGCAACAAGTCTGTCTTCTCATCTTTCTGTACTACATGCACAGGGGTCATTGTCCAGATGTTGATTTCATGTACTTTTGAAAAAAATATATATTTTCATGCACTGGGTTTTCAGTCTTTTGCTGTCCTTGTTTTAATTATGTTTATTTCTTCATAATATGGCAAGATTTATAACGTGGAAGGATTTACATGTCTGCTGTTGTATCCAGCAACTTTACCTGATCATTTTAGTTTAAGTTTCACAGCGATTAAAAGCTATTAATGGACATAAAGATATGTTTGTGGTTGATTTCATGTCCCCATCAAAGTATTTCCAGATGCTGACGGATCCTCTAGGTTAGGAAGTTGTATTTGAGACCTTCCTTGTGCAGTATCGGACACAAATAACTAGCTCGATTGGTTTCTTTTCATCTTGGGTGCAGGTTCTGAAAGTTCCATCTTCCATCCAACAGGGATTTTTCCATTGGCAGTTGTATTTGGTGAATAAATAAACCAACAAAGTATTTCAGGATTTATTTTAAACAGTACAAATGATTTATGAACAGGAAGGTATTAGAAAAGCAGAATCATGTTTCATGCAAGAAATGTTGCCACAAACAGAACTGGTCAAAAACTTGAATGAATAAATGAATGAATGAATAAAGCTTTGAACAGTCTCGCACAGCTCTGTCCACATTAGAGCGCTGTCTAAAAATTGTTAAACTTATTTTGCCAAGATGTCCTCCATCTGCCTCATGGTAATGCACGTCAGAAGCACCTTCGTCCCCAGAAAGTCTTTCCCGTGGAGCCTCTGAGCCAGCGCAGCAAGCTTCTTTGACTTAAACTGAATCACGGCCTCACCGATGCCACTTCCCTCACTGTTGCGCAGTAACGCAATGTTGTCCTTCTTTATTTTGTACTTGCTGAAAAGGCTTTTGATTTGATCTTTCTGCACATCTGCCGGCATGTTTCTTACAAACAGGCAAGTCTTAGCTTCCAGGCCCATGTCCGCACCCAGTGACCCCTCAGAGGCATCAACTAGGCCAGATTTCCTCTTTAGATTTGGTTTCGTTCTTGGGTCTTTGGGCTTTAGACGATGCTTGAGACTTTTAAGATGCATTTTGCTCATCTTTTCTCTCATTGCCTCCTTTGTGATTGGTGAGACTGTAATAGTATTGGAGCCTACGTGGCAGCCAGTGAGATTCATTGCATAGTCGAAATCTTCAGTTCGATTAAAAAGGAGAAAAGCAGTGTCTGTTCTGTTGCCTTCTTTGTCGAGCAGATGCAGTACATTTTTGTGTGGAATGGTTGCACATCCAAACAACTCTTTTATTTCAGTCTTGGTCATCGTTTTGGGCAGATTGCTTACCATAACAATGTACTCCACAGCTGGAGTTCCTGACTCACTGTCAACTTTTAGCTTTTTTGGTCCATTAGTTAGCAGCTGGTTGATGGACTTCCTCTTGGGGCGCAGTACAGAAGCAGATTTTTGCCTGTGGTTTACACTTTCTTTAAGAGGGTACTGGTGGCGTTCTTGTATCGCCTCAACATCAACAGCATCTTCACATTCCTGCAGCGCGCTATTCCATATCTTCTCACACGCTCCACGAACATCCACGCAGAAGGGGCCCAGTGATTGCTGGTTAAAGTTAAGAGCAGCACTTGCATCCTGCATTGTAGCAAACTTCACAAGGCAGCCATGGTTTAATCCCAACCTCACATTTACTATGGCTTCCTGTACAGTAAGCCCTCTGAAAAAATGGCAGATATCATCTTTTGTGGTTGAGGGTGGCAGACCAAAGAGCCTGACGTAGCCTGGCTGTGAGTTTAGAGTTTGCTCTGGTGTCCTCTCCTCTTTCCCTACAGCAGCAGGACAGTCTGCGATGAGGACATCTCTTTGATGGGTTGGCTGAAGACCTTGGAGAACAGTACAAATCCCAAGAAGAAAGGCTGCACTGGGATCAAGAGATTGTGCATCTGAAGTCTGTATATCTGCAGTACTGTGATGAACATTCTGTGCCTTCACAGATAGATTTGAACTAGCACGACTAACTGGGTATGTAGAAGAAGGTGAAAGACTTGCAGTATTATCGCGAGGCCTAGTATTTGAACTCATCCGATTTACAGCTGCACGTGGTCGCAGTCTAACAGCATGGTGGGAGGCTTTCTTCTTCTCCTTTAAAACTGTCTCTAATCTATGCTCCAGCTCTTCCATCTTGCTTATGTGCAGAGTCACCTTAGAGCCTTTGAGTACATTTCCAGTCAGCCGCATGGCCAGCTGGGCCTCTCTTTCTGTGTTGAATGCAATAAAGGCCTCTTGGAGCCTTCCTCCCACAATGCACACTCCACCATCAGGAATTCGCACAGAGCCAAAGAAAGCCCGAATATCTTCAATACCCGCCTTGGCATCCAGACCTTTCAGTCGCAGGATTATGGTCATTTTGCTGCTACCAGGTCACCAAGTTATGAGATACCTTTAAAAAAAAAGTGAGAGAGAAGGAAAACGGCTGAAATGAGCCAAAATATGGGCTGTGTGTTAGCATACGACCACGAAACGCACATTCAGTGAGAACACGTGTCCTGCTGGTGGAAAGCAAAAGAGAAGGCGCAGGAAAAACACGTTTTCTTCTTTCCTTGAAATCCGAACAAATACTCACCACAGCCACTCACAACAGATACTCGTTAAAAGCTGGCATGGCGGGCGTTGTCACTGCTGTAAACCCGACTAAACTTTTAGTCGTGGACCCATGCTTAAAATCTCTTTTGTCCCGCCTCTCCCGCTTAACCCCTTACCCCGTTGATTTTTTTATAGACTTACCGCCACCTGCTGGAGGGGAGCGTAACTCCTGGGAGAACTGGTACATCACTGTACATCAAAAATAATCTGCATGACATTGCCCTCAGCTCTCTTTTTTCCAGTGTCCTCGTTGATTCAACACAATCATGTCCTGTGAGCCTAAACATATCCCCGTTTCTATGTGTGTGTTGTTGTTGTTGTTTTTTCCAAATAAAATAAGAGCAAAAATGGTTTCAGCAAATTACTAAAGTGCAAATTATTAAATAAAATTAGTAATTTATCCATAAAAAGCTAGAAAAAAAACATACCTTGAGTGTTGGTTTCCTAAACTAAGAATTGATCCGTCATGAATTTGAAAATGAGTAAGTTTCAGTTATTTACCTGAACTCTCTTTGTAAGGCTTGTGCATCTCCTATCTGCTCTCCTGTTTTAAAGCGTTTCACTTAAATCTTTAGATTTTTAAAATCTTACTTGATCACTAAGAGGTGCGGTCTCTCCTCCCCTGAGGTCTATGCCGATATATTAACATACGTACTTTGTGTAAGGAAGTGGAAATGCAAGATGCAGCTGCAGATTATGTTTCCTGTCAAAAGTCCCGTATGACTCACACGTTAAAACCCAAACAAAAACAAGTAATTACTACTTTGCAATAGGTATATTTTCTAAAATCCTCATATATGGATATATATGGATATCCTCATATATGAAGAAAATCCACTTTATGAATTTCTAATGGAGCTAAACTAATGGTCAGATTAATACTAATTAATTTCCCCTAAAATAAAAAAAAGTATTTTATATAGAAATATTTTAAATGAATTTAACTGTTTTATTTCAGGTATGGGTTGTTGTTGTTTTTTACTCATTTACGTCATCACGTCATCACGTCGCATAAAGCACTGTGGGTAAAAAAGGGAAGAACGTTGTTTGCCATGGCGACGGAGACGCTACAGTTTGTCGTTAACAGACACAAAGTGCCTGTAACGTTGTTTATTTTAATGTACATCGACGTCCTGCGGTGCCAGCCGTTCACCATCCCCTTCAGGACTCCATCAGACTGCGGCGCGGAGGAGTTTTTCGATATTTCGAGTTTGTCGTGTGTGAGGTGCGGTCCAAATCAGCGGCGGAGCACAACAGGTCGGTTAACCTCACCATCATCACACCGCATCACCGGAATCGAGCAAACGACGCCACTTTGAAAATAAAAGTGTCTTACCGTTAATCAAATAAAGTTTAAGTCTAACCACAAAGAAGCCAAAGTAAGCTAGGGTGCTCGGTGCAAAAATAATGAGCTCAGGAGCTAGCACGCTGCTGAGATAAAGAGGTATGCACGGAGTCTGTTTGACGTTAAGTAAAGTTAGACAGCAGGTTTGAGCTGAAATGCAAGTAATGCTGAACAGAGCTGATCACATGCAAATAATATTATTTCAAACAAGAGCACAAAGCAGCCAGGTGCGCTTGGAGAGCACAGGAGGACACAAACACTGCTTTCAGAGGAGTCCTGCTTGCTGTAAGCCTTCTGACTTGTGATAATCTGAGACGAAGCTAAATAGATGGCTCTTTTATAATTTATAATTCTCAAACTAATGACGGCTTCTGACATGAGCACCGTTCATGTTAGAAGCCTCCGTTTTCCCACAGTTACCGTTTGCTGTGCATTCTCAACTACTGTGGATTACTTTGATCATAAAGAAATCTTATTGCCAATTCAACCTTATTTTGTAACATATAGGTCTTCATTTTAGTTGTACTTCTTTTTCCTTCTTTCTTTTAGCTGCTCCCCTTAGGGGGTCACCAAAGCAGATCATCTCACTGTGTCCCTGCATCCTCCTCTGTCACACCAATCCTCTGCATGTCCTCTCCCATCAATAACCTCTGTGGTCTTCTTCTTTTTCTCTTACCCTGCGGCTCCACATTTGGCATTCTTTGTCAATTGTACCCACTATCCACCCTCTGTCCAAACCATCTCAGCCTTGCCTCACTAAGTTTGTCTCCAACATTTTAGGTTGTAATTAAACTGTCTTAAATAAAAGATCCTGTTACACACTTGATCCTAGATCCCAGAGTGCCTGTGCTCATCTAATGCTTTCCCCAAACTTTATGGGTGTATGATATATGTATATGTGGAAAAGGTGACCATCGTTGTTTTTTTGTTGTTGTTGTTGTTATTTGTTTTTGGGGTTTTTTCTATTGTCAAATGGGAAAAGATGCAGTGATTAATTTTCTCTAGCCATTGCAGGAAACTAGAGGAAGAACAGCCTTCCTAAGAGCCCTCTTTTATACTCATTTGTCAGGCACTTCACCTGCTCTCTCTCTTCCCATTTCTTCCCCTTCTTTCTCTCCCTTTACCAAGCATGGCTTGCTTGTTGAGGCCCATCCCATTGTTTCTCCCGTTCTCTCTGACCTCTCACCCACATAATTTAAGGCAAATTCAAGCTCACTTAATCACGATAGTTACATTTTCTTTTTTTCTATTTTGTACACAAACATGATTTCTCATTAGCTCAATTACATATGATATCATGACACTTCAACTGCTTTACTTCTTTTCAGCTCTGTCACATGTGAATATACCGTTTGTCTTCATGACTCTGTGTTTATCAATTGCAACTTACTCAATATAATTCCTTTATTCAAAATCATGCATGATGGACCAGAGACTCACATTTCTCTGTCTTTTACGCGCTGCCCGCTTAGTGCTCTCACTCGCATAGAGAGAGACAAGGACACACCGTAGTTGTAACAATGTGCCCAGAATCTAGGCAAAAGTCAAGCATTAAAACCATTTTATTACTCAAACCACATTTTCTCATTCATCATATTGATCAGGTTTACTCTTGATTATGTTCTAGAAAGAATTAAGTAGAATTCCCTATTAGCAAAATTACATATGGATAAACTCTGTTTTAGCACTATGTATCACTTTAACCATAAAAAGACTGGATGTTAGGTCCTTTTTTTCCACTTTTGACGGAGTTTCTCAATCTTTCACAAAATAAAAATACTTCAGATAGGGCAAAAACAGAGTTTATTCAATTCTAACCAGCTTGAAGGCCAATATTTATTATGATCACCTTTATTCTTTATCACACCATGAACTTTCTTAGACCAACGTTCTCGTAATGTCTTAAGTACTCTTCAGGAAACGTTCTCCAGGCTTCTTTGAGGACATTTAAAGCTCTTCTTTGGATGTTTGCTGCTTCATCTTTGTCAAGATGAAGCAATGAGAAATGTTGAATGTTTTATTCCCTCCTTTTCCAAATCAGACACTGAAACCATTGAACCGAAAGTGTGAATCTTTTCCCACAAAGTGCCAGCAGCAGCAGCAGCATTATAGAGTCACCACATAAATCAAATGTAAGAAGGAAAAAGAGCATAACGGTTGGGGTTTCACTTTATTACACGATTGCCCAACACTTTAGTTTAACAATAACAAAAGTAACTTAACCGTGTAACTCTGGGAGCTGTACAATGTTATCATATACTAAAATTTAAAAACTGAAGAAATATTTTCTACCTGGGATGTTGTATCCTGTGTCGAGTTTGTAACCAGCTGCGAATCAGTGATTTTAACCCGCCGTTTGCTCTTCCTGTCACATGAAGTGAAGCTACCGAGTGCTACAGCACTTGGTTGAGTAATTTGTTTACTCTGTGTCGCACATCTCCAGCTGCTCGTATCTCCTCCTCCTGTGCCGTCACACCCTCTATGTACTCATGCAGTGTTTTTTTTTTGTTTTTGTTTTTGTTTTTTGCTTCACTTGATGAAACAAGTTTGTCATTTCCAGCTTTATTGGAGACAGTTTTCTTGCCTGTTTTTGCAAAACATGGAGGTTTTTGTTAACTAAAAATCGTCAACGGTAGCTGACATGTGGCTCTCGCTTTCAGGCACGTCTGGGTTCGTCTCCCGTTATAGGCACCACAGAAAATAAATTAATGACATTGCTGTACCTGATGGTACTTCTCTGTGTTCCGAATTCCTTCAATTTTCACAAGTTCTTTGACACCACTGACTGAAATACCATTTGGTGGGGGTTTTATGATTGAATGATTCATATGTGAATCATCTTAAAAGATAAGATAACCTTTATTAGTCCCACACGTGGGAAATTTGTTAATTGTTATTTGTTAAAATTGTTGGGTATAAGGATTACACTGAGAAAAACTGAAGAACTATTGTTCAAGGCAGCTTTTAAAAAAACTGTCAAGGGTCGCTGTGTGGCAGGCAGGATGAGGACCCAAAATGCAAACTCACGGACTCAGGGGGTAAACTCAAAAATCACAGCTTTAATGCTGGCACGGCAGAATACAGGAAATACAGAACTAACTGGGAAAAAGTAAACTAACACTCGCAGGAAGACACAGGAAGATCCACACAACATGAGGGAGAACGCGACACAGAACTGAGGGAGACGCAGACATAAATACACAGAGGGTTAACGAGGGAAGTGGGAGCACACGGAGAACACAGGTGACACTGATAATAATCACGAGACATGGCAGGAGTGAACACAACACTGACGGGAGACGGGCGAGGCGAAACAGGAAGTACAGAGGTTCAGACAGGAGGAGAGAGAGCACGAGTAGAACACCAACATAACGGGCAGGGGAGACACGGAATAAACACGAAAGGGGACGAGGGCTCATGAATACACAGAGGGGCACACAGGGGGTGAGAGTCACAAAGGGAAAGCACTCAGGGAACAAGACAACAGGGCAACTCAGGAAACAGAGCCAAAACAGGGAACTGAATACAAAGACACATGAGAACTAAGAATACTGGGCCAACATGGCCCAGGATCATGACAAAAACATTGCAAGAAGATCTGGTTCCTTGGAAGCAAAATATAAAGAAATGAGGGGTGCCTCAAGACTTTTGCACAGTACTTAAATTAAGAGAGAACTAGACCACAGCAGATTATCTAGACTATGAAAACTGTCTGCTTTTAAAGGAATCCAGCATCAAAGACTTCTGATTCATACAGTGAGTGACGGGGTGGTTAGGGTTAATCTTTTCACACTCGAGTGTGTTTGCCCCTCCTGAACATCAGTGCAGTTATGCCATCACTTTCAAAGCCAACAAACAGTGCAACAAATTTCTGATGTAGATTATCAGTTTGACACTCAGTAATAATAATAGATTGGATTTATATAGTGCTTTTCTAGGCACCCAAAGCGCTTTACAATTCCACTACTCTCGCATTCACACACTGGTGGAGGCAGCTACACATGTAGCCACAGCTGCCCTGGGGCAGACTGACA